GTGCTTGCAGTCGGTCATAAAGGACTTCCATCTAACTGTTTATCCACTGTCTGATTTTTGGTTATGTTTATACTTGAAGGTTGCTGATTCTAAATATGTTTTTTATGAAGATTGGATGTGTGGTTTAAAGTTACAGGATATGTATAAAAAATTTATTTTTACTGCCTGTGTTAATTATGTTAAACCATTGTGTGCCATAATTGTATCACAGGCAGAGGGGAGGATTTTTGTATGTAATTGCTGGGAGTGTTTCTGTAATGTACGTGTATGATTGGTTGTTTTGTAAAACCCTGTGGGTGGTCCTATCTAAGGGAAACCTGCATAAAGGAAGGTTCTTTTGGTGCCAATAACAGAATGACTTGACCCTCTAACTTGCAGCCTTGACTCATGTTTGTAGGGGACAGCTATAATCACTACAGGGATTGCTATGCTCTTCATACTCCCTTAGCTACTGAGCTCTTGTAAGAGCTCCTGTTTCTGCTTCGCTCTACAGAAGGAAGAGGTTCACCTACTGGAACCTGGAGCCCAGTCGTTGGTCCAGGGTTGGAGCAGTTGGCGAGATCCTAGCCCAGCAGCGGCGGTTTGTGGAGTCTGCCGTACTTATGGTGTCTATGGTGCTGATGGTCCTTTTCTATGGTCCAACTTCCAGCCAGCCTGGAGGCAACCGTAACAAGGATTGTCTGGAAGAATTAGAGAGAGGTTTTTTTTTCCTTTCTTCTTTCTCTAAACCTCCTGTCTAATTGAATAGTGAGTACAGTTAAGTCCCTTAAAGTGCTAGGAATACCAGTCCTTGCAAGTTCATCTCAAAGATTTTCAGACAACCCCAATCTATATTGGTACTTTAAGGCTGCTTCATTCCATGAAGTATCTGCGGCTAATCTACGAAATTGAGAAACATATTCTTCCACATTGTTTCTGCCTTGGGTTAAAGAGTGCAATAAAGTTTCAGCTGTATCACTTTTATTTTAATCTTCATACAATTTATTCATTTCCTGTAGGAATAATTCAAATGAGGAGAAACAAGGGTCAAAAGACTCAACAAGTTGATAAGCCCATTTAGCAGCATCTGCCTAAAGCAAAAAAATAATGTTTTTTATTTTCACATCATTTCTAAAAGTGGCCGGTCTTAGAAAAAACATAAGTTTACATTCATGTATGAATTTTCCAGGGGGATATATAGGAGGTTCAGGTAGATGGGAAAGGGTGCGCTGGTTTAAATTTTCAACTTGAGTTTGAATATAATTTAGTTTAAGGTGGAACTCCTGAATTGATTGAGCAAGGTTTTTGACTGTGATTGAAGTGACTGAAACCCCGGGGCTAGGTTTGTGGTTTCCATTTTTTAAAATAGATTTGACAATTGTATGGCACAAGCAATCTGTCATGTTTTCTTATTAACAAAGGCCAAACCAAAAAATTACTACTCACTTTTTTAATTTTGGGGTAGTTTCAGCACGGCAAATCACTATGACAGCCAAACAGCGAGGTTAAATGAGAATCCTTGATTGGTTTATACAAGGTATAAGGGGTTCATCCAAAAGCAGTGTCTTTTATCCAATCCGGGTCTGATAACAGACGAAAAAGAGAAGGGAGTAATCCAAAAGCAGAGTTAAAGGCCAGTCCGAATATGTTCAACAGGAAATCACTGTTATCTCCAGGATAGAAGACTCTGTGGAACTGGTTTTGGGCAGAAAAGCCATGCTTCCTGTGGTCACAAAGGACTACGATCTATCTTTTGAACCACTGGACCAATTTGTATGATTTTGACGTTTGTTTGTATTTGGAGTATGCTGATTCTGAAAATGTAAGTTTTATGTGAATGTGATGCATACTTTTCAAGTTATGAATAATGTGGAAAAATTGTATTTCTCTGCTTGTGCTAAATTACATTACTCATTGTGTAAGGTAATTGAATCACATGCAGAGGGGAGGAATTTGTGTGGGAGTGTCTGAGTGTATTGTATGTGTTTATTGGTTGTGTTCCAAAACCCTGTGGGTGGTACTAATGTGTAAGAATGTGTACATAAGCACAATAAACCCACAGCTCTGTCTGTTCACTGCTTGACCCTCAACACGGAGCTTTGTCTCGTTCTTGGGGGGATTTATTGTATGCTGTTCCAGTTCGACTGCTAGGAGTGTAAACCTATTCGTATGGTTTTTCCTATTCGGCTGTTTACAGCATCCGTATGGTTTCCTGTTCGGCGGATTGGTGTTCTGCAGTAGCTGTGCCTGCATCTCTGGAAGGGGACGATCGCCTAAACGGTTTTAACCCCTTGTGTGCTGAAACGGTCCATTACAATTGGTGGCAGTGGTGGGATCGTTCCTACAGCCAGAAGGACAGCTACAGGAGACACCATTTCTTTGGATTTACAAGTGGGGGCAATGCATGTCCCAGTACAGCGACCCTAAAAGCAACAGAATGGAACCAGCAGTGTTATACGAGGAGGAGGAGGACCTGGATGGCCGGGATGCATTAAGGAAAGGCATCTGGTACCAGGCCTTGGATAATGTACAACACCAGCGGGGCGAGAGTCTCCCCAGTGAAGAGCAGCGGTTTGGAAGCAATTGGCCCTATGGATGCCCTTCCTGGGAGAGCAGCCCCTGGATGAATGGGTGAAGGAATTGGAGCACCGGGTATGGCAGGAGATTTGGCTGGAAGATGCCTACCAGGCGCTCTGGTGGTATGGGGCACAGTACTAGCATGACAAGCCAGAGGGAGAGGAGTTTGATGGTCCTGGCTTGTTATGGGAGTCCTTTGCAGAGCCTGACTTCGGGAGCCCTGCGCAGAACAGACTTCAGGAAATTTTCTACGAGAGGGAGGCTAGGCATGACTGGGATGACCCCCATGAGGTAGAGCAAGACCTGGCTCACCTAGCAACCCTGGAGTGGGAACTGGAGCAGGACTACCGAGATCTCTTCCACTCCATTGGGAAGATTCAGCAGGACAGCAAGGTGACAGATCCAGTTCCAGACCCATTCAGCTGGGAAGACATTGTTGAGAATTACTGGGAAGAACCCCAGGTGGCGGGTGGAGATGGGACCAAGGTCTCTCCATCGATATTGCAGGGAATTGGGAGCCCGAGCTCCATTCCCCAGCGGGAGATATTGCAGGGAATTGGTAGCCTGAGCTCCATTCCCCAGCGGCAGGCTGAGTTACAGGGGGCAGAGACAGGTGGTCCTGTCCCCCAGCGGCAGTGTTCCTTGCAGGGAGAGGAGAGCAGCGTCCTCCCTCCCCAGCGGCAGGGTGAGCTACAGGGATGCTGGGCAGTTGGCTCAGATCCCCAGCAGCAATGTGAATTGCAGGGAATTGGGAGCCCAGTCTCCATTCCCCAGCGGCAGGCTGAGTTACAGGGGACAGAGATAGTTGCTCCTGTCCCCCAGCAGCAGAATGAATTGCAGGGAATTGGGAGCCAAGTCTCCATTCCCCAGCGGCAGAATGATTTATTGGGAATTGAGAGCCCAGTCTCCATTCCGGAGTGGCAGAGTGTCCTACCGGGAATAGAGAGCCCAGTCTCCTTTCCCTAGCAGCAGGACTCTGTATTGGGAGCAGAGACAGTCGGTCTCCCTCCCCCGCGGCTGGAAGTATGTATGGGAGAGGAGCTTGTTACGCCCTCTCCCCAGCAGCAGCTTAATGTACCAGGGGGAGACAGTAAGCCCCACAACTGTGCAGATGGGACCGTGGTCTCTGCACGTCCAGCACAGGGGGTAGGGACGGTTGGTTCTGCCCCCCAGCGACAGGGCTGTTTAGCCAAAGGGGAGACAGTTGGTCTCCAGCAGCAGAGCTGTGTGTCCAAAGGGGAGTCCGTCGGTCTCCAGCAGCAGGGCTGTGTATCTAAAGGGGAGACAGTATGTCTCCCCCTCCAACAACCAGGCTTCAACCAGGCTACCCTCCCAGTAGCGCTGGCAACAGGGCAGAGTACCGCTGGTCTCTGCCCACGCAGCAATCCACCAAGTCAGCATACCCGTACCCAGCACAGCCGTGGTGAGACACCTGGACATGGACAAGCTTCTCCTCTACCCAGGTGTAGTAACCATTTATTGTGGGTGGGCTGTGCTGTTGATGGTGTTTTGTGGGTGGGCTGCTGGACTAACAAGGGCACTGACCGGCAGGAGGTCAGATACCCTGTTAGTCTGTTTGGAAAAGGGGAGAGATGTGACGAGAGCAATCTTGCCACATTACATTGGAGAAGCCTGGTTGCTCGCCTGTTGCCTTTGGATTATGGCCCCATGTTAAAAGGCTTGATTTTCCCCTGCAAAGACAAGAAAGCCGGGTCATTTGGTGCTTGCCCTGTTTGAGCAGTGATACCCCAGATAGCTATGCATGGAGCCCATTCATATAATGAAAGACTATAGGAAAGACTTTGGCTCCATGGCAATTGAACTGTATGTGTGTGCTCTAAGCGCCATTCAGTAATAATGTGCGCTTAGACCTAAGCTATCTGGGCATATGTTGCATGTCTGTATTTTATGTGTAAAAGGTGACTTTATGTATTTTAAAGTGTTTTATGTCTTTTTGCTGCCATGTGTTCAATGGAGTTTTGCCTCTGTCTTTGGAGATAATTGGATTACTTCTAATTATCTCCAGGATAGAAGACTCTGTGGAACTGGTTTTGGGCAGAAAAGCCATGCCATGGTCACAAAGGACTACAATCTATCTTTTGAACCACTGGACCAATTTGTATGATTTTGACGTATGTTTGTATTTGGAGTATGCTGATTCTGAAAAA